AGTATTCTGGGGACCGTTCCTGTAAGGAAGGTTGGAAAGTATTTAAAATATATATGTGCAGTAATTCATGTAGCTCCAGTGGAGCTTAGGTCATGTATCTGCAAGAAGTTTTCACTTATTTTACAGATATAATAATAAAACTACCAAGAGGTTTGCAGCTACAGAAACTAAAAGCTGAAAGAGATTCAGCTCACAACAGACATCAAAGTCACGCTAATGAAAACAGCTGAAGGTTATAGAAGGTGGAATGGGGACGTCCTCAAATGGCTGTTATCTAATTTAAAAAATAGGCTTTAGACTTTACCAATTATGCAGGCTATTCGCATTTCTTTATGATCAGTAGATTTCTGTTTCCCAGAAATGGAGGGTGTTCACAGTCTGGAAAGCATTGACTTCTTGCTGATGAAAATAATGCATATACTTGTAATTTGCTGATAGTAGGTTATGAAAGTTAATTTCCAGAAAGGGGGGAAAATAAGCTACTAAATTTCAGTAACTCTCTCAGAAATACAAGTGCATCTCCACTTGATCCCTCAGCTAGGACGTTGAAGGCTTCTAATATGCATCTTCTGTGTATTTATACACTCTTTTCCTATCTGGGAAATAATATATGTGCACATTTCTAAAAGTATAGCTTTCATAGCAAAGATGTAGATGTGGAGGGTGGATACATCTGTTTATGTATAGAAGAAAATACCTGGGAGGTGTAAGTCACTAGTTCATGCTGTACTGAGTCATCCTTGGATTTAATTTCTCCAGCACTGAAACACCCTCTTTAGGCTGTAATGCCTGTTACTGACTTAAGAATTTAGGGTGGATGAGGGAGAGAGAGCACCTATCCTGTAATGAGGATGTTGTGTGTTTGGTATTCTCTGTGTGTGCTGGGGGCTTTATTTGCTATTGATGTGTTTTAATAGCAGAGGTTTCTTCCTGTTTGCAGTATGGATTGAAAGTAACTTGTGTTGCAAGAAGAGGTTAGCTTCTTCTAGAGGCTGTGAAAGAGTGAAGTGTACCTACAGATAATGTTTCTTGCTTTTTAATTTTTCACAGAAATAAATGCTCCATTATGATTTTTGTTTGTTTGTTTCAGTTCATGGAGCTTGGACAATAGTGACACATTACTGAAAGCACTAGAAATTCCCAAAAATGCTGCAATGTGTAACTTGTACCCAGAAGACTATAAGCGTCTTTTCGAGGCTTTGCAAAACTCCGATTTGTTTGCTGAGACCTTCTTCCATGATGAAGTCTTGGCAAGTACAAGGACCATGAACTCATAAATCTAAAGCTTTTGGAAAATCACCTTTGCTTCTGGAAGATTACTTTGATAGAAAGTGATTTAAATAAAATCGGAGATACGGTTAGCTAGATGATTTCCTGTCCAAACAGGAAAAATTTAGCAAGTAACAAGAGCCCTTCTACTTAGGATAAATGTAATTAATTCACAGTTACCTTTCACAATCCTATCTGGAATGGACAAGCTTTGCACACAATCCAATCTGGAATGGACAAGCTTTGCAACTTTTGCAGGAGCTTATTAGGTCGTGCTACTTTTGGATGTGCCACTAAAATGCAACTTTTTGTTACACTGTTGCTGTATATTTACAACATTTGAAAAAAATTACCAGACCAAATTATTATTTGTTTGGTTTTTATTTTAGTGCTTAATGATTTGAATGCCCTTTTGACAGGTTCACAGAATACAAACAACAACTTCTACAACAACTGAGCCTGCAACATTGTCTGCTTTTCTGAATTTGCAGCCTAAAGTCAAAAAATGCTAATAAATTAATAGTGGTATGTTAATAGAAGACAGGGTAATGACAGGGTGATAAAATATTAACTGAGAGTTTCTTAAAATAAAGATTGTGATATCCCTGAGGAAAAGTTGTAACAGTTATTTCTTTTGAAAATAACAGGGACAATATGTACTAGTTTGTAATACAATACAAAAAACACCTACACATGTATAGGGATTATTTTAGGTCTGAAAGTCATCAGAATATTCAATGCTGTATAAATTATTTCAAATAAGATGATTTTATTTTTTAAAAGCTTTGCCAATGTCTTTAATGTGTAATACATGTACCAAAAAATTACTCAAAACCATATACTATTAAAATTCTGGTTTTAGTCATAGTACTCACTCCGTAAGGCAACCTGTTTCAAATTTCTCTGTTTTACCATCTAACTGTTCTGTTGTTGTTCAACAATGCTGAGAGGTTGTACTGTTTCTGTGTTGTATATTGTACCCTCTGGAAAGAGCTTTGGTAAAAAATACCCTTCTTTGGCAAAGCACTAGTTTTAAAATGCCATTTTGGTGAAGGCTAGGCCATTTTCAGGCTGTGGATAACAGTAGTTCCCCAAACAATGCAAACAGAATTGAATTTCTTAAGGTTACTGTAAGGTATAGATGTGATAAGCATTAATCTCTGTCTTCCTCTTGCAGTTCTGGCTGCAGATGACAAATTGACTTGGAGCAGCCTCAGTTCACTCTGCTAGCTAAAAAGCTGAGCTTTTGTAATACTATGGTGAAACTCCTGGAAAGGCTGAGGCTTAATTTGCAGTCTGTCTCAGAGCCTTGCTGGCGTTCTGGTGCAGGTTGTCAAGATTTGAGGCTTCTTTTCTGCTTACATCTTTGACTGTTTCAGAGATAGTCACTGTTAATTGTCAATGAATGGTAACTTTGCATTAACAGAAGCAATTCCACCTTTTTCAGTCTCATTAAATGGTAACTGTCTTATCTACTGGTCTGCAAGACTGCTGTGTCTCTTGGGCTGATTCCCCCTCCCCATCCTGAATCAAAGCACCTTACTCTTGTTGCAGCAAGATGTCTTACACCTCCAGCATACAGGAGAAGTATTCTATACATGAAATGTAACACCACCACTGCCTAAATAAATATCTTCAGCTATGTGCTGATAAGATTTCAAATGTGAACCGAAAAAAAGAAATTTGTTTTATTTTGATGCTGTTGCAAAGCAGCACTTAATGATCCAATGCAGAGACTAACAGCAGGAGTCTGTATGTAAGTGGAAGGAATATTGCGTAACTGGGGGCTTGAAATGAGATTTAATGCTCAACAGAAATGCACCATTAAGGCTAAGTGTGAGCAATGTTTAGCCCTGATCACAAATGTGAAATTGAGAGAGAAATGCCTGCCATTATAAAAACGATTTTAGTATTAATGAAAAAAGATTGAAAATGTGAAAATGACTTGTATATGAATAAATACACAGGGAGTAAAAATTAAGTAGGTCTATATATTTGATTAATTGATGCTATCCACTCAGTAATTCCTACTGTTGTAGGATTTTAGCTTTTGTAGGATAATGTTGAACTTTCACTTCACTTTCAAAGTTTTAATTGTATATAAAGGCTTGTCATACATTTCTGTTACCATTTTTAACCAATGCTGTACTATTTGTATTCCTTTCCTTTGCATAACTGCCTTTTTCTTTTTCTCAGGACTGACTTAATACATGAACCTCTGAAATGTGAACCATATGTGATGCACTATCTAGTACAACACTTTTAAGTATTGCTCTCAATCTTCCAATTTTTTTGAGGAGCTGCCCAAAAATGGTGTTTGGCATTCCATATTAAAGCACCAGTATATCATAGCTGATACATTGACTGTAACTTTGGAGATGCTAAGTCTTTTCTAGTGGCCCTCATCACTTGTGCCATCTGTCTGGGAAAGAAAATTATGACTGTGCTAGCAATTGCCTAAGCTCTTCCTACTTACCTATGTTTAAATCATAACAAACACAAATAGAGACAGAAACAAACTTGGTACAACTAATGAGAATTTTTGCCACTTGGAATTAGGTCAGTTAAGTTGAACTCTATAGTCAGTTCACTTTTGATCTAGAAGAAGGGTTTCTTACCTTGCAGTAATTAACCCAGTAGATGCTGTGGTAAGGGGTTGTTAAGGTGGAATGTGTCTGTACTGGCTGTAAACCTGTTCAGCATTGGACATTTTAATAATTAGAGCTCAGCCTTGCAGGCTAATGATAATGTTGATGGAAATATCAGCATACAACTTGAGAAACAGATTGTGTGGTATAGTTTAGGATGTGCAAATGTGATGGGAAGAAACTGAGGCTTCCTGAGAAGCATGTTGAATTAATTGTTTTGTCAGACTGAACACAATCTGTGGGGCTGCAGATTGAAAATTCTGATGTAGTTTTCCCCCCCTCCACACAGCCCCCGAATAATCCGACTAGCTCAGAGATAAGGGGCTGTGAGGGGAGGACTATCAGGAGAGGGGTATAGGTATTCAAAAGAGGCTCTTACCCCAGGAGGTTGGTACAGCTCTCTTTATTCTGTGATGTCCATGTGGAGAGCGGGGCAAAAAAGAGAGAACAGGAAATGTCAGGGGTCTATATAGGTTTTGGACAGGGTGGGCTTTCCTGGCTCTCCGCCAACCATGCTGGGGCAGAAAGGAAGATCCAGGGATTATCCTGATCAGAGTCACAGGGTCCCGGGGGAAGGGGGGCATGGGGTGCCCATGAGCTCACTGTAACACTCTGACTTGAGTTTTGTAAGACATTAATTAGCAGAGCCATACCTTTCTTCTGTAAATGCTGAGAAAAAGGAAATAACAAGTTACTTTTCTGGAAAGGATAAGTCAGTAGGAGATGTTTATTCGCTCACATTATAGCCTTGTTTAACAGCTATTGCATCTTTCCTCATGTGGGCTGTTTTAACTTGTCACTGCTAAAAATAAGCACACTGACTGTCCCCAGCAGATAGAACACAACGTGCAGCAAGCACAGGAAGCCCTAGGGAAATTAGGAGTAGTTAAGATACATCAAATGAAGCAGTCGATTACTCATAATGTCTTTAAGCACTCATGTGGTTGATCCTATTGATACAATCCCAAATAAACAAACAGCTCAGAACTTCCTGAGCTTGCTTCTGTCATTTGAAGGAAATTGACGTGTTTGGGGCAGGGAAGATACAATGGTTTGGTAAATTTCCCAGTTAAAAAAAATTAACAGATAAAATCTATGTGAAATTTACTATGAATTTGTGCTTAAAACACTTCTGCAGTGATTTTTAATTTAACATTCTAGAATCAATTTTTCACTACCACACCAACATTGAAAGTGAAGAGACCTCTTCAAGAGATACGTGTTCATAAAAGATTTATCTGTACTTACACGCTTTCAGCTAATTAATAGATATGTTAATTATTAATTAATTATTTAATTTATTATATCGATAATTTATTATATATTAATAATGATTAAATAATTATTAATATTCTATGCTGTTAGTTACACAGATTTTGTACAATCCAAAATTTAACATGTTGTGTTTTGAGCCGTATTTTGCTCCCAGGAAAGAAAATCTATTTTGTGCTGTGTTGTTTGGAATGGCTATTGCACATTTATGAGTAAGGAGCAGAATGTGAATGATTTCATTACTGCAGCTGTTTCTCTAATTTCATGTTGTAAAACATGCCATCCTGATAGAAGAGCTAAAGCTCCATGACGGTGTCTCCTGGCAGTAAGGACATATGACTAATTCAGCAGCATCAGCCACAATTAAGTGATACTTCCTTCAAAACTGCACTCATTACACTCCTTGACAGCTTCTGTCCAGAATGTGTCATGAATTTCAAACAGCTGCTGAGAAGTCTGACCTGTTTAGGTCTGTGTATGACTTGGTCATATAAAAATACCATGCTGATAACAGGGATTAAATTCAACTAAATATATTCTTGGGCTAAATAAGCACTTACTAGGATTTATATCCCTAGTATCATTATGCTTTCGAGAAAATTCAGACTGATGATTTCAATGTTGGGCATTCCATTGATCACCATTGCTCAAAGACTGTTGAATAGCTCTCCTAGGCAGATTTGTCATTAACCTGTAGATGTAGGTATGTAGAATCAGTTCTTCAGGCCCTTCATACAGATGTCCAAACATCCAACACTGCATTAAACTGTTCAATGCTGTGTTTGAAAGCTTATCTATACAGAAAATCTCTATTACTGCAATTATGTTTTCATATCACTTGAAATGCAATGTCAACTAAAAGCTGTTTTCAAGTTTCTGTGGCTTGTTTCCTGTACAACTTATGCCAAGTGATGGAAGTTCTTTTCTTCAGGTATACATACTTCAAATCTTCCTAGAGTAGCTGGGCTCTTCAAGGATGTGATTTTCATTCTGTTTGTGTGTCAGTGTGACAAAAGACTGGCATTCCCTCAGATGAGTTTTTGTACTTTGCAAGGTTTTTTTGTATTACTGGACATATAAGTGAGAAAACCTGCCAAGAAGGAAAGAGAAAATAATGAAAATTAAATCTGGTATTATATATTTATATTCACTCTTCCCCAAGGTCACTTTTTGCAGTTCATGGATAGACCTTTAAGTTTATGCATTGTATTTGACCATTCATTTCTTAAATTTATCCACTAATAGAGGCAGATGTTAACTTCTGTTATTACTGGGCTTGTTTTTGATACAGGTTTTGGGTGATGCCTGCTTAGAAACTAAAACATCATAGACAGGGAAATGCAGAACATTTAATAGGTGAAGAAGTAAAGCATACAGGCCAAATACAGAGCTAATTCCCTAATATTTTAATAACTGCTAAGGTTAATTCTTGAGAAACTCACAGTAACACTGTAATTTAACACTTTTAAAAATTTGCTAGAAGAGCTAAAGATAAGCATAATAACATGCATAATGATTTCGCTAACAGCTAGATTGCTGTCAGTTCTTTTGGTAATGAATTACATCATTGTAGCATTAAGCAAATGCCAAAATATATTTTTCTGTGAGAATCCTCTGGCTTTAGGCACCTTGGTTCTTCCTAATAGCAGTGGTTTAGATAAGGATATGGCCATTCCTTATTACCTTGTTGCAACTTGTATGAAAACAATTGCAGACTGAAATAACAGTTACTGAGAACACAACTGAAGGTGTTTTAGCACTGTACAGCAGCTTCAGAATTGTTAGGTCTATGTCTCAGTGTTCTTTGACAGCATGAATCAACGCTCCTTTCCAAAGCACAAGCCCTACCTCCCTCTATAGGCATGATAAGGAAAACCAGGAAAGCCGATCTGCAGTTTAGCATGTTTAGCGTACATCATGAGTGTAATCTCATAAATGAATGAAAGTTATGCAGACCCATACAGAAAGCACTTATTTCATGAGCTTATTTCAGATTAATACTATTATTTAATTCTGAAAGTGTTTTGCTTTCTCCATTGTCATTTATATGACTCGTGGTTCTGACAAAAAGTTATCTGGTGTATGGGGTGCATTCTCAGTGAGAAACACCACCGGGGCGTAGGTGCAGCTACCGGCCCAGTCATATTTCTTTGTATTCAGATCACAGTGAGATCCAGAAATACATCCACATGCCAGCTCACAAATATAATGTCCTTTTTGGGTATGTCTTTTAACTTAATTAGTGCCACATCCCCTCCTTTGTAAACCAAACTGTTTAATGTTTGGGGTGTAAATGTGTAGTGAGGGTGCCAGGAGGATGGAGCCAGGCTGTGCTCAGTGGTGCCAACCAATAGTACAGGAGGCATGGGGCAGAAAATGACGCCCAGTAAGTTCCACCTGAATATGCAGAAAAGCTTCATTACTTTGTAGGTGACTGAGCACTGGAGCAGATTGTCCAGAGAGGCTGTGGAGTCCCCTTGACAGGAAATATTCCAGACCCCTCTGGACGCGGTCCTGTGCAATGCGCTCTGGGGTAGCCTTGCTTAAGCAGGGAGGTTCCACCAGATGACGCACTGTAGTCCCTTCCACCCTGACATTCTGTGATACGTATTATAGGCTGCCTCTTCAGGCAAAATGCTGCCGTGCCCCTCTCAGTGCGGCTGTGCTGCGCCGGCCCAGCACCGCGTGTGCCGCACGCCCGGCCTCCATCCCCGCGGGGGTCGCCCCGCCCTTGCCCTGACTTAAGATGGCGGCGGCAGCGCCGGGTCACGTGCCGGTGGGCAGGGCGGTCGCGCTCTCCTCTCCGGTGGCGGCGCGCGCGGCAGGATGGAGCCGGCCGCGCTGGAGCGGTTCCACAGCCCGGGAAAGGGCAGCGGTCTCCGCTCCCGCCGGAGCGTGCGGCCCGGAGAGCTGCTCTACCGCGACGTGCCCTTCGCCTACGTCCTCACCAAGCAGCAGCTGGGCACCGTGTGCGAACGCTGCCTGCGCAGGTACCCGCGGCAACACCGCGGCCAGCTCCGCCCGGGCAGCGCCGCCCCTTCCGCCAGGGCGGGGCTGCGCCGTGCCTGACGGCCGGGAGTCCGCGCCCTCAGAGGAGCCGGCTGTGCCGGGCGGGGTGGGACGGGCAGGGGCTGCGTGCTCCGGAGAGGAGCCGGCTGTGCCGGGACGGGCAGGGGTGTGTGCTCCGGAGAGGAGCCGGCTGTGCTGGGACGGGCAGGGCTGCGTGCTCCGGAGAGGAGCCGGCTGTGCCGCGCTGTGCCGGGTCCCGCGGCTGTGCGCTGCCAGGGCGGAGCTGCGGGGTTTGCCGCTTCCTGCCGCTGTTTTTAACTGGGGGCTTTTATTTTAAATGGCTGTTTTTGAAGATGTCGCCTCTCCCCGGGCGCGGGTAGTTCCTGGGGAGGTGTCCCGGGCTGGCAGGAGGCGGCAGTGCCGGTGTGGCTCGGTGATCCGCGCAGTTTTCCCGCTGGACTGGCGGTGCCGGGAGCGTCCGGCCGCCGCTCGGGGACTCCCGAGTCCGGCGGGGCGAAGGGGAGCTGTGCCCTGGCGTTCGCACAGCTGAAGGGCACCAGCCTTCTTGAAATAGGCAGCGGGCGATGCTTGAGTTTCGGGTCGTCTGGCCAGGTTTATCCCGTAAAAAGCACGTGGCTTTGAGACATGCCGTAAATAAATGCCTGCCTTCTTCCCGCATATGACTACAAGTGGAAACTGACAAACACATAGTAACTTTGTTGCCGTGCGAGATCGGCTCCGGGCGGACGCCTGCGGGTAGCACGGCGGGGGTGGGGGGGAAGGAGGCGGCGGCCGCTTTCCCCTTCGGCTCTGCGAGGCTCAGTTCGCGCGGGAACGGACGAAATGGTGACACGGGGCTCGGGTGCAAACACGTGTTTATTGTGTAAGCGTGTTCCCCGAGATCCCGGGCACCGAGCGGGGGGCTCGGTTATACCCTGTGCCGGGGGCGGGGGGGAACCTGAGCCGCGGCCAATGGGACGGGAGGCAGGGGACAGGGACAGGGAAAAACCCGGGCACAGCGATGGGAAAGGAGGGGGGGGGGGGGCAGGGGACAGGGACCGGACCGCATGGTGAGGGGGAGAGATAAGGGAACGCAGGGTCGGGACAAGGGACCGCGGGGGGAAGGGGGAGTGATAAGGGAACGCAGGACAAAGGGGGAACGCGAGGGAAGGGGGGAGGGGGGATAGGGGGGGAAGAAGAGAAAATTACAAATCCTACATAACTTTCTGTGTTTGTTTAGAAGGAAAAAAACAAAACTGGATTTTAAACTTGAGCAGTTTTCTAGCAAGCCGGATTGTGGCAGAGCTGTTAAAGGAGCATCTGTATGTTAACACCTGAAGCATTCTGCTAGATGAGTTAAACCCTTGTGTAATTGCCAAGACGTGAAGAAGAGAGACAGGAGAACATTCAATACCACTAATTTTTCTTTTTTAGGTTTTTGCTTTGGTTTGATTTGTGTTGGGGTTCGTTTTTTTTTTTGGGCCGGGGAAGTGGATTATTTTGAAAGCATTTGAAGTTTGTTGAAACAGTTGAGGTGATTTTCATCATGTCCTTTACAGGCATGAGAATATGGTTCTCATTTAATCAAAGAAAAATTTGACAATCTATTCCAGGTGATGCTTGCATTTTATAAGGTGCACCTTGCATCTTCAGCATATTGAAAAAAAATCCCAACCAAAGCAAAAACCCAACAAAAACTCCTCCAAAAAAAAAATTTCCGTAATAAATGCCAAACTCAAGAGCTTTTTAGCTATTATGCCTGTGAAGTCTGACTTGGGACATAAGAGCCCTTCAAGGTGGTGACTGAACATTTTCTACTTGAAATTGTGAGAGGCTGCAGACTTCAGAAGACAGGCTGAGTGCAGCAACAGGTGGAATAAAAGTGAATCTGGGGTGTTTAGATGTAGATGTGTAACCAGGGCATGTTTTGTTGGGAGAAATAATGGTACTACCAGCTTGTTATATCACAAGAGGTTACTAATTTGTGGTTTTGGTTATTTTTCTATATAGTGATAGCAGTTAAATTTTAAAAAGTGACTAAGGAAGTAAAAAATATATTTCCACCAATCTGTCTTCCTTTGCAAAATGTGCTGTGAGTAGACAAAATTTATAGATCAAGACTGTCCAAGCTGACATTTGTCTAATTAAAGGATATATATACATCCATACAGAGATGGGTTTTTTTGAGTGTATAAAAATTGGGCAATTAGTGAAGTACTGCTAAACTGTGATGTGCAATAGAACTGTTTCATCAGTCTGGATTTTTTGGTCTTGTTGACTCTGGTGTGGTCTTTTTTCAAAGTGAGGTATCAGAAAAAAGTTCCTGTTCTCTTCCAGGACTACAGATAAAAGTCACGCTGTCACTCCTGTTCCTGTTTTTCACTCTGATCTTTAGGTGGCAGTGCAGGAACACAAATTTTAAAAAAAGTCTAGTTCTTAATGTTGATTTAGTGTTTTGGCAATCCTTTTATAGATGCAATTAATGCTTGAGGCTTTACACTGATGTGTAATTCTATACTTTTTTCTCTTCTTGTAGTCGTAAATGTTGTTTGATGCAGTTTTAGGCTGTATGAGAAGTTCTGGGTGAGCCAGAAGATGGGTAGTGAAGTGCAGAGTATCTTCCTTCTGGACTGCCTGCTGAGAGGCAGCAGGATCTTGCCAGGATCTGGGGTCACAGGCTTGGGATGGTGCTGACTTACTCTGTGGCCTTGGCCAAGTTCCTACAGCAAGGGTGTCATGGTTTGACGCTGGCACAATGCCAGCGCCCCATGAAAATGCAACCTACCAATCAAATGCTGTGAAATGCAGTCGAGAACAGAGCAAAGCAGGCCAAACTTAATAACAAAATAAAGACTTTATTACACTACTACTAATAATATAAAGGGAAAAAAAAAAAGAAAAACCCACACAAACTTCAAAATGAAAACCTTCCAAAACATTCCTCCTCCCACCACCCAACTCCAACAAACCACAGTGAGACCCATTTAGATCCTTAATCCAATTTTCACCCTTCAATATAATCAATACTGAATCCATCGGGGAAGAGAGGAGTCCCCCTTGCACCACAGACCCCCAGGAAACACAGCTGCCACCTCTTGTGTTTCCATGTCACACGTGGCACTGCCCAGACACACCGGCCAGTGTGACGCTCTCCTCTCCATGTCACAGTGCTCTCACCACCGTGCATGGACAGAGACTGCTTATAGGGCCCCTTTAAGGATGCTCAGCCAAGGACCACCAGGAACAACAGTCCAGCATCTCATTTTGGGACTACCGTCCCCCCCATTTTCCCCTGGGGACGAGGATCCAAGGACAGAGATCGCCTTCTCTTCTTCTCTGAAGATGGAGGGCATCCTCACACCCTCCTCAGCTCTCTCTGTCCATTTCTGAACTGGTAGTTGCTGAAGGAGGTCTCTTGGCTCACCAGTGCATCCCCTTAAAATGCAGTCCCTCTTGAAAGAAGGAGTGGTTCAGTTTATGGTAAACAAGCAGAGTCCAGCCAAAAGCCCCTCCATCATCTCCCCCTAACCTTCTTCTCTGAACATCTGAGGTCCCAGGCTGTCTCTCTTTCCTTCAAACTGAGGAGGAGTAATATTTCATAAAGCCTTCATTTCACAGGAAAGGGTTAAAATTCCCGGACTCCCCGAATGGCTGAAATCTGGCCCAGGACTCTGTCTCCCATCTCCCACGCTGGGCATCTTTTCCCCCCATTCTCCTTCTCCTCTGCCGGCAAACTTCCAGGTGTCTGCTGGCTCTCTATCTCTTTTCCCTCTAGCTTAGGGGAGGGGGAACAAAGACATCCCAGATGTTCTCCACCCTTCCATCCGCAGGAGCTGGCCCAGCTCGGTTCCGATCCTTCACCCCCTGGCCTACCTCTGCAGGCCGCATGGCTCCCCTCCCCCACCCAGCCCGGGCTGGGCAGGGGAGGTCCGTACCTTCCGATGACCGGAACCAAAGAAGAGCGAGTTCTCCTGGGAATTCTGCTTTTAACCCCTCTGTGCTCTCAGAGGCGTGTCCACCTTCAATTGGTCACCCCAAGTGTCAGTATCCAAACCTGACCCCTGACTGGATTGGCCTCTTCCTTCCGAAAAAAAAATTCTCTTCCCGTGTCAAACCACGATAAAGGGTCTGATGTACCAAAGCAGGGTCAGGTTGGCTGTTGGGGGCAGTTTGCTGCTCTGTTTTAGAAAGAAAAGCTCAGATAGTGCAGTAGTTCTGCTTAGTCTTACCTCAATTAAAGTGACCATTATTGTGGGTTTAAAGTGCTGAAGTATTTATATATGAGAACATACACACACACGTATACATACATATATACATATATATATAGCAAATGCAGGTGAACCCAATGGGAAGAAATGACAATGTCTCACTCAATTCAGAAAGCTGAATGATTTCTTTATTATAACTATGCTAAAATACATTGATATACTATATAAAAGGAGGATACTAAAACTACATACTACATTCTGTGACTCCATCTCTAACTCTCACAACTTGTGACCCTCTCCCAAGAGTCCAGCCACAGGTGGGTTGGATTGGCCATCAGGCTCAAACAATCCTCACCAGAATCCAATCAAGCACTCACTCCAGGTAAACAATTCTCCAAACACATTCCACATAAGAAAAACAAGGAGCAGAAATAAGAATTGTTTTCTCTTTCATTTCTCTCTGTGCACCTCTATGAAAAATCCTGAGAGGGAGAGAAATGTGCTTGCCACATATATATATGTATATATATATATATATATATATATATATATATATATATATATATACTTAATGCATCTAATAGTAGAAATATTAACAGCCCATCCTTATCTTACTTGGCTGTTGGTACTGTTTTTATAGTGACAATAAAATTTTCGTCATTGTTTTTAGGTTTACATCATACATAGAGGAGATGGCAGATTTTTGTCACAGTCTCCCTTTTTTTTCTTGATTTTTTTCTTACTTCAAATAGAACCCTGTATTTTCTGAT